AGTTTCACCAGCTGAAGAGCAACGCTACCCGGTCAGCGCCCGCTCAGAAAACGAGATGTGCAAGAGCTAGATATACAGGCTTTCATAACCTTACTCTGGCTATCTGAATATTATTAAACTTTACCTTTCGAATGTGATTCTCTCAGTGAGGAATTTGGTCACTTCCCAGCAGCACAAGCTATTTATCGATTTGGCATTTGAGTATCATAGAGTATAAGTGAATGGTGCGCTTCCTTACTATTTGTCATTCTGTGTTGGAACACTCTGATGGGTTGGGGTTGAATCGACTGTAGGAGGCGAATCTTAGTTTTGTTTCCCGATGATTGAGGGTGACTCGCTGTGGGATGCGACTTCCAATAGACGCGAGGCTCTCCTTTTGGCTGGCCGAAGACTACGAGCAACTCCCACAGGCTTATCAGCAGTTGCTGCGAACGATGGTGATGGTCAGAATTACCACAATATGTACGAAACTCATGCTTCCGCACAACCAGCTGGATTGCCATCTGATTCCACACCGGCCAGTTTCCACGATGCTAGTACAAGTAAAAGCGAATGCATTTCTCTCTGTTTCCTGAGTTTCTGGTATTCAGGGACCTCCTATACTGACGGGGCTTCCTCGGTATACTATCTGGACGAACCTCCCTCTGAACATCTTCAGCTGATGAGTAGTCCCCGGTCTCCCGAAGAACGCCGAGTGTCGATACCAAGGTTGCCCATCAGAGGCTTCCATACGGCGGAAGCCTCACGATCAGCCACGACGACAACTCAGACGAGGCCGAGCCCAGTCGGAAGAGAAACGAACCATGTGTCCTCTTCCAACACCCCCTGTGCTACAGGAGATCCACCTAGTAGCAGTCGATACGTTGTCGGGAATGATGCTGTGGGAACATCATTGACATCAACGGAACTCACGAACATACTAGACCAACGGCTTGGCGATTTGGAACGATCTATTGCTGGACAATTCCGAGGGCTCGCCGAGCGAATAGAGCAGCGTTTCGCCACCACTGAGGAGACTGTGACAAGAGTAACCGAGCACACCCAGGGTAATATCCACATCATGTACAATCACCTCCCCCCGGCTCGTGGCTCAGATGCTCATCTCAAGGCTAGAGTGTACCGAATCATCGATATTTGGCGTCCTCCGCATGTAACACCAACCACATGATGGAGTCTGCTTCTCACTCACTCGCTAGTTGAGTTCCTACTATAATCCTACTATTCGAGAGGTGGCACGACTGACACGGGAGAGAGACGGATCTCCCTGAGTATACACGGCGTGTGAACTTCAATTCGTGCGGTCCGGCATTCCCCTGGGACTAGCCTGTAACTCAAACATGTGCTCGCGAAACGTCAGACTGACAAACTCCATGACGGTTGATCAACTAAGATGTACACCTGGCTCTTTTCCTTCAGCATTCAGTAGCGAGGCCAAGAAAGCGTTATACGTCTGCTTCCCCGTTACGGCACCCACGGCAGCTGGATTGCTTCGCTCAGTATGAACCTGGTCATTGATATTAGTACAGAGCCTCAGTTTGAGGCGCATCACATGGACTATACGAGACAACGCAACAACAGTCTTGCTCGTGGTCTATGCACATGTAGGTTCGGGGACCACGAGGCCAGACCAAAGAAGACTGGTAGGTAACGCACCTTGAATGCACACCCAAGCTGATCATCGAAAGGGCCTTCAACGTCAACGACGACTATGTGACGGTCAGTCAAGGACGAGTTGGCAACCAGTCGTGCCTTGACTTTGGAGAAGCCGAGAGATGGAGCGGCGATCTGAAGGGAGAAGTTCCAACGAGCGCAACAGCATGCTCTTCGCATAAGAGTTGAATATTCTATTTCACTCTGGTGACAAGCGTTGCGCAACTATTTTATCGAGCGGCTTTGGCGCAGTAGGTAGCGCGTAGGTCTCATAATCCTAAGGTCGCGAGTTCGACCCTCGCAGGCCGCACTTATTTTCAATGCTAAAGTACGAAGTCACTCCTCGATCTTCTACCGCAGCACATGCCATGGTATTCACGTTGTTGGGAGCCAACGGACATATCGATCGAACGTCGCCTTCATAAAGTACTACATCTCCACCACAATCTGAGGATGGAGAATTTGATACCGTGCGCCCAACTGTGGATGAATCAAGGCTTACGAAGTTCGTACTACGAACGGTAGTTCATCTATTCCTACCCTCTCCCCCATCCATTAACGTCATCATCCTATCCATCAATGGCCCATTCAATTTGAGACTTTTTGGGTGTTTCTTCATCGTTACAGTTACCCCTTTCAGTGTACCTCCGTTATTACACGATCATCAGAGAACGAATGGAGATATCACCTTTAGCATCCATTCTGCGGATATCCTCTGCTCCCCACAGAGCTCCCACGGAAACGTAAACCGAATGACCTGGGAAAGAATTTGTCCATAGGGCAGCGCCAGAGGAGCGTTCAATCCCGTGTTTGAAATATTATCACTCTCCTTGACAGTTGTGGCGCGCACTGCCTGCTCGAAATCTTCATCTGCGAAGGCAGTAGGAGAGCCGATATATCTGATGCCTGAATGTGCAGAAAACACAAGTAGGATCCACTACACGTCAGCTGATGAAAGAAAAGTACAGCACCATTCCTTGGCGACATCCGGATGACAAACCTGAAGAACGCTATGAATAACTACCAACGGCAGACTACCCCCCATAACTTGTACTTCAGCGATCAAGTCTGCCTTTCGTTCAGCGAAATCACCGAGATTTGCCAATGCACACTCAGCTGAGAGTCTCCCATCACGTATAGCAGCTTCGACCTGTGATAGACGTCGTCCTCAACCATGATTCGCATACAGCTACCTTGTCAGAGGACCTATTCCATACGAAGGCCAACTCCAGCTCTGAACTCCGAGTGATTTCCCCAACCAGGAACCTGCATCCTCCCCTTAGTATAAAAATTGGAAGGTTACTGCTAATTACTCTCCAAGATGACCGTATCCCACAATGCCGATACGTCGGGGCCTGCCCATGTGTTATTGAAGAAAAACTCACATGCAGGGAGTACGAACCCGAATTGACCAGCGCAAAAACGGCATTCGAAAGTAACAGCATTGGTATGGTACATGCTAGTTTGTTTAAGGTCGACGCAGGGGCATGTCGAAGGCACAAAGTCAGCTGCTTGATGACTAGGCCGTCACTATGCATGCTCCGTGTCCCCCTTCAGTGAGCCTATGCTCTGATGTTCCCCCGCCAGGGGCTCCTCCACCGACCCTCCGCCGCACCTGTTGCGCATAAAGAATGCCTATGAGTCTCTACTGAGGGCGCTCGAAGTCACCAACTCATTCAAGGTTTGCACAATTGCGGGCGCGGGAAGTTAGTTTTCGATTTGGCTAGGCTTCGACACATCGTGGCGAATAAATTTTTGTAATCATGACTCGCTTCGCTCCGCTTTTCCATCCATCGCGAGTAACTCGTGAGCATTCTACTCGTGAGCATCATAGGCATTTCCTCTCATCGTCAACTGCCTTCTCTAGCCCGTCCCGACACAACTCTGATACCGCACCTTCGGCACATCTGTCCGCTACTGTGTAATAATGATAGTAGACCAATAGCCCTGTCTGTCTTGAACTGTATAATAATGTCAACTTCTTCCTCTTCTGCCACGCCGACCCCGGTCACTGCTGCAGAGGAAGGTCGACCCGCCTTGGTCGTCCCCAGAGTCAAAGCCCCTCCCATTCTCCCCATCTTCGAGCGATGGGCGGTTCTGGTGAGCTAACACCGACACCATTCAGTCGAGCATTAACTTCTTCCTCGTTAGGTTTTCTCTCTCGCCCTGTGTATTTTCTCAGCGTGTTCACTGTTCACTCTCAATCTCTCCTGGGCTTATCAACCCAACCAGACAGGTAAGTGCACCTCCCCTACTCTGGACATTTCTGAATGTTCTTCCGACTTGCAGGTTATGAAGTTCCTTTGGCCAACTGCCCGGCCTTCTCTGAATCGTTCTCCATAAACCACGCGACTGCACCCTCTGGTCCAACATGCAAACTTGAGATAGTCCAGAATGGTTGGAACGAGATGGTTATGTACAACTCAAGTATTTACCCTCTACCCAACAACACCCCGATCGACCAGACTCTCAACAACTGTCGCATGCCTCAGAACGGTGAACAGGATTATGAATGCTTCCAACTGTATGAGTGTCATAACGCATGTCGCAGAGTAGACGATACTGAGACGTATTACCTTGGAGAGTGTCCCGACCCGTCTATCCTACCCGAGATCGGCAACGACGTGATGAAACCCGGTATCCCGAAATGTCAGGTCAAGTTGTCACCAACCTCCCCATGGGAAACGGTCTTCTGCAAAGAGGTAGATCCGTCCACGCTGAGCTAGCGTGTTTTTCCAATCATCGTTTAGGTGCATACATTATCATTCTGCTCCAACAGCTATGATGTGACGCCCTCGAATATCTTGGGCATGAGGGGTATCATACTGGCTGGAATGCTCATTACTGTCATTTGGTTCTTCGCTGAATGGGTGTTATGGTATGTCGACTTGAATCTACGCAAAGAGAAGGCAGAGGGAATGGCAAGGATGGCCAGAGAGCTCCCTCAGAAGAAAATGTATTTACGCCAACAAGTGGAAGGCCATTGGAAGGACGAGTTCAACAACGCTACCGTAAGCCCAGATGATTCAGCCAGCGGTGGTTCGGTGTGTGCTGTACCACCCATGGACGGGGAGGACTATGAGGGTATGTCTGAGTCGGACATGGAAAGCTACATGTCCAGAGATCCGGCGATGAGGTTCGAGTCTGGAACGTGGAAGAGACGACTTAGTCATTGGAAGACCTGCAAGGCTGCAGCAAAGCGGAGACATCGAATCCGCCAGCTTTTCTATGTGGCTGCTCTCAACATCTTCTTCCTGCTCCTACTTATTGCAACTCTGTATATCGTCCTCTATTACTCCCCTCAGAACATCCTCGCCAACAACAGGTCGGTGGCTGATGATCTCTACGGTGAAGTGTCTATTTGGAATGCTCATTCGTGGTTGGACATTCTCATATTCATAGATGTTCTGCTCGATACGTTCTTATTCCTAATTGCATGTGTCTTCGTCAAGTGGCCGCGCGCTCCAATTTACACTCGTCATGTTCAAGACGTGGTTGCCAAGAAGAAGCAGCGTGTCGGTCGTGATGGTGCTTCTGCCGGTTCCTTGAACACCGATGCGAAACCTCAGTTGGTTTACATTGACCGTGATGGCGTCCCGTCTCCTCTCAGTGATGACTTCCTGTCTGATGCCAGTTCAAGCTCAGAGTCCGAGTCAGAGGAGACTGTGATGAAGCAGACGTTGGCGTATGACTGTTGTCTGATGATCGCATGTCATCTCTCTGCCATGACAGAGGAACGTTATGAAACCTTCACAAGTACTTTACGTGCTGCTCTTATGGTCTTCCCTCCTAGTCACATCTTCGTCTGTGATAATGGTGGCACATTACACCCAGAAGATGAGACTGAGTGGGCAACACAGCAGGTTCATCCTGATATCAATTATGTTTACGTCCCAGAAGGCAACAAGACATTCGCTTTCTACTGGGTTAACAAATACTGGATACCGTATCTAGCCCAAAATGGCCGAGTCCCCGACTTCAAGTACTCGGTTATGATCGATGACGATGTACCACTACCAGCAGATCTGTACATACCTCATGAACAGCTGAGAGCCAATCCTAATATCAAGGCTGTTCACTTCCCTATCACTGCGACTACCCCTGATGGTAAGCCTGGCATGCTTGTGAAAATGCAGGATGTTGAATACAAGATGGCAGCAGTGCATAAGCTTTTCCAGGCTAAGATGGCTCGGTCTCTATCATGCCATGGTGCTGTGTCATTGTGGGATCGCGAGGCACTCGATGAAGTGTTGTACGAGCATGATACTGTGTTCAACGGTGAGGATATGTATATGGGTTTGACACTTTTGAGGAAGCGTGATGAGTCTACGATCATCTCATGTGCTCAAACGATCGTTCCCACGTACGCTCCTGATACCTGGCCAGTGCTCTTCCGTCAGAGGGTCAAGTCGTGGGATCTAACATCGCACAGAGACATTCACGTATCTGTGGGAGGTCATCAACCCCCGATCGTTCTGTCATGGTGCATCTTTGG